TAGAATTTAACGAGATAGTCCCATATCTGAGCTTGATCTCCTCAGATGACTCCCAGCTGCCAAGTGCTCATGTTCAGAGGTTGTCTCCTCTCCAGGGCACCCTCATTCCTGAGGCCCCCTCCCCACCCCACCCCTATTTGTGCTTTGACCACGTGCAAGAACTGAGACATCTGGAAACTGCTGGAATTGTCCCACAGCCCTGGGCCTTGTCCACTGGCCCTTCTCAAAGCCGGTGGCCTGAGATTCGGTTTTCCCTCCAGCCCTTGCTGTTTGCCTTCAGCTTACTTCCTCTGGGTCTGTGGGGAAGGGGACCATGGCCTTCTCTTCTGGTGCCTTCTGATGGCCCTGCTGTGGGCACCCGAGGGCATTCTCCGGCTGCGGGAGCTGGAGGGGGCCACGTGGGGCAAGCTAGAAGTTTCAGATATATGGCCCCAGAGCAGCCTCTGGCCTGGAGCTGGTGTGTCCACCCCGAGCTTCCCTGGCCTCAGTGCCATGAAGGTAGCTGGCCCGACACCAGCCCCGGTGGGCCTCCTTCTCTTCTCTGTCTCTCTTCTCCTGAGATCACCTCCAGATTCACGGTTTACACTCAGACCTTTGCAGGAGCTCAACCTAAGGCAGGGGGCCGCAACCCTCTTTCGTGAGACAGCTGGTCAGCAGGAGCCCTGGGACCGTGTGCAGATGCTGGCTGATGCCTCGGCCATGCTGCGGATGACTGTGGAGGTGGGTGACTGTTGAGTGAGGGAGGCTCAGAGATGGCAGATGATGCCCTCAGGCCTCAGAGGGATGCCGGGGTGGTGAGCCCCACTCCCAACCCCATCCCATCCCTCCGGGGTGTCTGCTGCTGCGGGCTCCCCTCTGTGCATTCGCCAGTAGACCAGAGGGACCCCAGGACAGAGACTTAGAGAAAGAAAGGTCCTGAGATGCGTCCTCCCCTCATCCTGCCACAGTGGAGAAGAGCCTCAGAGACGTCAGTGCTGGCCCGGGTGGAGGGGTGATGGGTGACAGGTGATGTGTCCAGGTGTCCCCGCTCCATTCTCTCCAAATCGCCCTCTGGAGAATGACCATGCAGTCACTGGTCACCCAGGCTGTTCCTTCCTGGACTGACCCACTCCCAGCTGTTAGGAGACCCACTCTTGCATTTGTCTAAGAGGGGTTGGAATTCATCACATTCCACACTGCAAGAGGCTGAATAGCAGCCCCCAAAGTGATATGTCCACACTTGCCTCTCTAGAACGTGCGGATGTGACCTGATTTAGCAAAAAGGTCTTCTCAGATGTAATGAAGCAAGGGGTCCGGAGGTGAGGACATCTTGGAGTATCCTACATCCAGTGACAAGCGACCCTGTAAGAGACACATAGAGGAGCAGCACCGGGAGAAGGGGCGTCAGGTGAGACAGAGCGGAGTGATGCTGCCACAAGCCAGGAGCACCAGGAGCCCCGGAAACTGGAAGCTGCATGGAAAGATGGTCCCCAGAGCCAGTGGAGGGCCGTGGCCCTGCAGACACCTTGACTTTGGACTTCTGGCCTCCGAAACTGTGAGAGACTGAATGCCCGGGGTTGTTAGCCACCTGCTCTGTGGTGCCTGGATCCTGCAGCCCCAGGAAACTCGTACACACATTTCTTTATTCCACTTGGCTCTTAAAATTGTTTTCCAGCAGTTTCCTTCCACCTGCCAAGACTCAGATCCCAAAGGCTGTGAAAGAATTCATCATTACTTCAGTTCCACAAAGATGTATCAGACACCCATCAAGTGTCAGGCCCCGTGCTGGGCCCTGGGGACCCAAGGTGAGTCAGCAAGGAGGTATATTCAGTGGGGAGATAGAGGGAAAACGTCATCAGGACATGGATCACATGATGTCAGAGGGACAAAGTGGGGGACGTTAACGGTTGGGGAGGGTGCTTGGAAAGAACCAAGAGAAGGCACAGGTGTGAGGCGGGGAGGGGGATAGGGGGTGGGTATTTGAGGAAGGAGAACAGCACATGCAAAGGTCCTGAGGCTGACGGAAGGAGGGTGAGAAGAGAGAGTCTGGGCCCCAGGAGAACATGTACAGATGGAGGGCAGCAAGACTGGAGTAGGTGGGGGGCCCTGAGCACAGAGTCCACCCACTGGCTCTGCCCCCACGGGTGACAAGCCAGTCCAAGCAAGAGAACATGGTTATGTTCACAGTTTTGAGAGATCTTCTTGGCCAGGGTGGGGATGGACTTGGACAAGATGGGGCCTCAAAAGAGGAAAAGCAGCAAGATGCTTTTTGCCAGGTCCCACCTGGCTCAGCAGGTAAAGAATCTGCCTGCAGTGCAGGAGACCCAGGTTTGATCCCTGGGTCTGGAAGATCCCCTGGAGAAGGGAATGGCAACCCACTCCAGTAATCTCGCCTGGAGAATTCCATGGACAGAGGAGCCTGGCAGGCTCCAGTCCGGGGTCACAGAGAGTTGGACATGACTGAGCAACTAACAGTTACTTGCTTCCTTACCTGTACCAGGCTTGGTGAGAGTGTCCACAGGCCAGTAGCATCCTCACCACCTGGGAGTGTGTAGGTTTGTAGAACCTCAGGCCTCACCAGATCTCCCAAGTCAGAATCAGCTCTCACCAAGATCCCCAATGAATGTGTGTGCCTGTTCAAGGTCAAGAGGTGCTGGCTTACACTGTTCTCCAGAGCCCCTGATGGTTCAACACTTCCACTTCCTCCAAGGGGCTTTCAAGGAGGGGCTTTGTTATTTATCCCACTGCCTCCTCATCAAAACATAATCTCTTCAGGAATCTTACCTCGTCCTTAACCTCCCCAGCAACCCAAGCCTGCCTGTGCCGAGGTGTTTGCTGTGTGAAGGAGGGAGCCTGGTCAGGAAGCTGACGGGGTCCAACTTCTTACCCGACGCTTCATTTTATAAGTAGCATCTCATAGGGAGCATCCACAACTGTGCTTCCTTTTCTTTCTCTAGCCCTGATTAATTGTTTTCCAAGGCAAACTTTAAAATTATTTTGTCAGATTGTAAAGGAAAGCATTTTGGGGTTGGAATTAGATTTTTAACCTCTATTTTAAGCGGAAAAAATGTATCTCTATAGACTACTTAATAGGTAATTTTAGGAAGTGATTAAAAATTATTACATACTGCGGTGCATTTATGAAGTTCATGTGTCTTTTTTTAGAATACAGGGAGTTTAGGTGCCTGGATGGCTGGTGAGGGCGATGGAAGGCGTGATCCACCCCAGCACTGGGCTGGAATTTCCGCTTTGCACACAGAACCACAAGGACACCTGGGGATGTGTGTTCCCCATCCCCTTTCCGGGTCTGCCCTTGGCAGCAGGTAGATCCCAAACTCTCCTCTGCATTGGTCGCAACCCGGCCTCCAAGGGACCTCACACAGTCACAGCCTCCCCAGCTGTGGAACCTGCCATTAAAGAACCCTCTGTGTGCCCTGCCCCAGGGGTTGGGGATGGCCCGCAGCCCTGCCTCACACAGGTCTTCTGAGCCCTGTATCTGGTTTCCCAGGTGATGTAGGTGGACATAGGGTTCAAGATAACCTGCAGAAAACTCATTTCTCTCCCTTTCCCCAATTTCAAGTGGATTGAGAGAGCTGGCAAAAGGCAAAGGAGGAAAGGAATGTATGTAAGATATAAAGACCAGGGAGCAACGGACAAGGAGACCCCACCCCACACCGGAGAAAAAGGGGGAGCTTTTAGGAGCAGAACGGTGCCACGTGGAGGCTGGGGGAGGGGAGGAGCATTTGGGTAATCAATAGGAGGATCAGCAGAGTTAGTCCTGCGAGTGCCCCTCCCTACTTGCCCTGAGCCACAGGCTCCAATGTTTCCCGGGCCCAAAGCCTCAAAGACACATAAAAGGGATTCAGAAACTGGGTGCTAAGTCCAGAGAACAAGGACAGCGCCCCAGCAATGTAAGGGTCCCACATCATCGTGGAGCCCTTTACTCAAAACTTCATGTCTACTCACTCCACGTGCCTATGGGCCCTGACCTCTGGCCCCCACCCCACAAGGACCACGGCCAAGGCTCGGACAGTCAGAGATCTCACTCATGGCTAGGCGGCAGGAATTCCCCCTGGGCCTGAGGAAGGATGTCAGTAACCAACGATCTTGTCCAGACCTTCTTCTTCTTCAAATGTGAATGAACAACCCAGAGACACCAACACTTCACTGAGAGAGACGCCGGATCAACCAACAGAAGAACCAGCTCAGGAGATAAGTGAAGCAATGCAGTAAATAGAAGGAAAATCTAAAGGAACTATAGCTTATATTTTCAGAGAAATTTGAGGACATCTGTTTTCTAAAAGCAGACTGCTGTGAAAAGGAAGCATTTTCAGCAGTTTGGAAATTGCAAACATGACTGACAAATTCTGAAACTGTCAATGAACTGGTTGAACAGTGAAGCGGATGCAGTAACCTGGGAGATCCTGCTAAGGGAATTTCCCAGAATACAGTGCAAAAGGACAAAGAGATGAAAAATACAAACAAAAGTTACAAGTCTTGGAAGTTAGGGTTTTCAACATCTAATAGATGTCAGAGAAAACACTTAACATAGGATTTGAGATAATAGAAAAAGAGGTGAAAACATCTCTGAACTGAATGGTTTAGACTGCTGAGCAGAAATAAAGAATGACACACACTTGGTGAAATGTCTAAACTTCAAGAATAGAGATTGGTTTATACATTAAGTTCCCACCATGACTATATGACTCTTGCAACATATAGATGACCTTGGCCGTCATTCATTATTTCCCTCGAAAATCATTATCGAGGACCTGAGCACTGAGCCAATTGTAGTATGCCTCCCCTTTAAAAGTTCGCTTTACGCCAGTTCACTTTTGCAAAGAGCTGCATTAGCACTTGTTGTCATTAATCGAAAGAAATCCAAAGAGGATTTTCACTTTTATGGAAAAAAGATGAGACTAGCAATCAGGACTTGTTTTGCCGTGAGCCCTTATGCACCCTGGGGAGTGGCTGGCCCTCCTTATGGGGTCCTGGGGCCCCAAAGGCGAGTGGGAGAAGCTCTAAGGAGGTTTCCGGCCCAGGTTTATTGTAGCCAGCACCACCGCCTCCTCTCCAGGGCCAGGGCTTCCCTTTCCACTTTGCTCATGGAAGGACAGCAGGCTGGCTTCCCGGGGTCTGGGCTTGTCACATCCTGTCCGGGTGATGCTGACGAGGACGGCGGTGGCACCGGTGCCTGGGGGCAGCCCTGGCACTCTGGCTGCTTCACATCTCATTAGAGAGCTCTGCGCATCCACGTCCTGATTTCTTTTCAGCACATCACAGTTTCTCAGCCTCAAGGCCAAGGGCCAGGGCCAGTCTGTGGGCCAGGAGGGCCCTGACAGATGGAGGGAGTGGGGGAAGGGCTGTTCTGTTCATCTGGAATCCTAGCAAGGGATGGGCTGCCTCTCGGAGTCTCAGTGGAAACACAAAAAAAGTCACGGCATCCAGGCACAGGCAGCCAGGAGAAGGGGCTTGACTGAGGTCAAGTTCTCCCCGGAGGGCCAGTCCTTGGGACGCAGGATCGGAGGTGGTGGGGAAATGCCACCTCTGGACAAGGTCTCCAGAAGTGGGGAGGCTTGAATCCGGATCTTTGACTTGACAACTCTCTTCTCTTGGAGGGTGCTGCTTCCTGCTTCTGGAACGGTGAATACAAAAGGCAAACGTGGCTCCCAAGCAGCTGGGCTTGAGGTCGGGGGCAGGCAGCCCAGGCACCGAGGCTCTGGGCTAGCCCAGGGACAGGCAGGCCCCACGACACACAGATGACCCAAGTCCCCCCACGGTGGTCTTGGGTCACTGACTGCAGCTCTCCCGGGGCAGACCATGACCCACAGCCCAGGGGAGAGCTAGACCCCCAGGGCCTGTCCTGAGACGGAGGACAGGATTCCCTGGTCCATGGGGACTCCAGTTCCTCTGGGCTTTCTCTGTGACCTCCAAGGAGCCCCTGCCCCATGATTTTGTCACCAGGACTTGCCCTTCTTTTTCCCTTGGGGTCCCGCTCACCATCCTCCATGTGTCTTGGATGGTACCTGGCAATGGAAAAAGTTTCAAGAAGGAGAAAAGACACTAGACTGGCCATAGTGAGAAGGATGCAGTAAAGGATGTGCGGGAGGGAGGGAAAGCGCCTCCTGAGATCTTCAGGACTCAGGCCAGGCTGCTCCCCAGGCCAGGGGTCCACTGGCCATCTGGAACACTCCAGTGGACCACCTGGTCCACTCCCCTGCGGTGGGAAGTCGGAGCATCCTCCAGCAATCCCCCCCCACAACCTGGAGGGGAGCCCGCCTTGACCCGTGCTCAGCAACCAGCACTCCCCTAACTCTGCCCCGGAAGGACAATGACCACTCTCAGTGCTGCCAGCTTTCCCCGACTGGGGGCCACCAGCCGAGGGAGTGGTGACTGTTGCCTAAAGAGAGGGTTTCCACCCAAACCCTTCGCGTCTTCCCCAGTCTCCGAAACCCAGGGCCCCCCCTGATGCGGCGGCCCTAGTGCACCTCTGCAGTAAAGGACGGTGCAGTAAGAGGCCCGGCAGCGGGCCTGGCTTTCTGCAGAGCATCGTCTGCCCAGAGACGCCTTGAAAACCTGGGAACCAAGCTGTCATGCTGACGTTGAGCTGCTGCGCCTGAGGGCCAGGAAGCCGGGACCCCATGAGCGTTCGCAGCACAGACTCTAGAGCCAACCCGGCGTGCGTGCGCTCAGTTGCCTCAGTCATGTCCACCTCTTTGAGACCCCCTGGACTGTAGCCCACCAGGCTCCTCTGTCCATGGGATTGCCCAGGCAAGAACACTGGAGTGGGTTGCCATGTCCTCCTCCAGGGGATCTTCCCAACCCAGGGATCGAACGTGCGTCTCCTGTGTCTTCTGCACTGGCAGACGGGTTCTTTACCACTAGTGCCCACTGGGAAGCCCAGAGCCAACCATACTGGGTTCAAATCCCAGCTCTGACCTTTGCGCCGTTAACTAACCACACTGCGTCACAGTTTCTTCATGTGAAATGAGACAGTAGTACTGATCTCATAAGCTGTGAGGATGTAATGAGATACACCAGTGAAGCATGTATATCAGTGCATAGCCTCACAGAGAAGCCTTGCACATATTTAATAAAGACATACTTGATCCAGGTTTCCGAAATCCTTGAGACCCAGGTTCAAGGCATCAAAAAAGCCCAAGAAAAAAACACAGCAATAAAATGAGTTTCTGATCCAGCAGGCGATCACCATCTTGCTCCAGAGCCCTGTTTTTTCCAACTTGAGTAATTTACATGTCTTCCTGACTTCTGTCACATCCTCAGTCCCCTTGTACGATTATTTATTCATGCTTTTCTTTCAGTCAACAGACTTCTAAATAATTTATCTTCTGCAGGATGTTTGTCAACTACCATAACTGGAAAACCACTATCACTTGTCACCAATAGAAGGAAACTGTAAAAACACATCCTGTGGAAACAAAACAAACAGTAAGATGTTTCCAGCTGGACCCCTTTGCCAGCCGAGGGCTCCGAGCTGTCTCTCTGTTTTTAAGAATAAAGCATCAGCAAGGGTTAAGAAGATTCTCCCGTCAGCCCATCGCGGGGGGCAGAAAGGGAAGTGACCAGGGAATCAACTTCTTACCCCGGGAAAGGCATATTTAAAACACCCAGGGACGCCGGCTAGAATGACCCCTGCTCCGCAGAGAGTGCGCCCCCACCGTGGAGGAGCGATCGGCCACAGCGATTTCCAATCAGCACGGCCAACGCTCCCGGCGGGCGGCCCAGAACAGGTGGGGCGGCCGCAGCTCGGGATTGGGTTTGTCTATCTTGCGCCCTCTGGTGGCTGCTCCTTTGGGCAGGAGGAGCACGTGGACTCGGGGTCCGGGTGGAGGCCTAACAGCTGGGCTGCCTCCCGGGACCCGCTGGACACCCCAAGATAGGAAGTCACCGAGCGTCCACGGGGATGCCCGCTCGCCCCGCCTTCACGGTCACCTCGTGACCGTGGCCAGCATGGGGCCGACCTCTGGCGCCCAGACCCCCTCAGGAGTCCTCGCAGCTCCCCACGGATCAACCGGGCTCTACCCTTGGCATCACAATCCGTCCTTTCCTACGAAGCAGGAACAACAGACGTGAACCGCTACCAGTTAGCCAGCTGCAAATGGAAGGAGGGGCTGTCGTTCAGGATTAGGGCGAGGGCGCCCCGCCTGCCCTGCGCACTCGCCCGGGCGCTCAGGTAATGAGCTCGGAGCAGGTAACTCCGCTCGGAGCTGGTCCGGCGGCAGCAGGTTTGCGGGCAGCGTGTTGCCCTTCGCGGAGCCCTGTGGCTCCCCGACATCCTGCAGGGCCGCGGGGAGCGGGTGCAGACTGCCTCGGGGCGCCCCAGCTACCGCCCACACCACGGAAAGGGAGGGACCGGCACCAGGCAAGCCCAGGGCACAGCGGATCGTGAGAGACTAGTGCACAAACCCACCAAGGCCAGACCACACATAAAAATAGCACCCAGCGCCAGCTGCAGCAAACCTGCCAAACTTCAGCTTCTGCAGCATCAACCCCAAAGGGACAGAACTCACTCAGTAACCATCCGTGGCCCAGTGTTCTCTGCTCTCTAACTTAGGAGCTACCAGAGGAAGCCAAACCTTCTCCGCTGATCACATAGGATGCCCCCTTCTAAGGGGGGAGAAAGACAAATTAGTCCGCCTCCAGCTTCCCCATGCTGACAACCTACAGCCCTGGCACGCCTGACACCTCCCCTATGAAGGACCTGTGATGGGGAGCAGATGGTGTGAGACAGAGGGAAGGGCTCACAGGCCCCCAGGTCTATGCCTTCCCTGGGTGGTGGCCCTGGGGTCCCTGCATGGTCTTCCTCCCTGGGAGCAGGCAGAGCCCTGGGATGGACTCTACACTCATCCATTCCTTCCTTTTGACCTTGGGTGGCCTCAGCCTGCAGCGGCTTGAAGCTGGGTTCAGTTCCCCGGTCAGAGGCTGAGGTTGCTGAGCATTGAATCCTAGCCACTAGACCAGTGGTCAGTGACAAGGGCCCTGGCCCTTCACCTTTGCAAAGAATTCCCACAAGGACAGAAAGTAGTGAAACAAGTTTATTAGGAGGAAAAGAGTATGGTACTTGTGGGATCAACATAGAGGCGGGCTCACAGAGACAGTCACACCCTCGTGGTAGTTTGAATCACTTCTATGGGGCATTTCTTCAGGGTTTCCTTTGGCCAATTATTTTGATTTGCGTGGAGAATTCCATGGACTCTATAGTCCATGGGGTCGCAAAGAGCTGGACATGACTGAGCAACTTTCATTTTCACTTCACTTGGAAAGAGAAAAAGCCAGGTGGAAACTTGCATTGTCACCATGTGACACGAAATTATTTAATCTCTTTACTAAGCCTCACTTTCAGCACCTGGAAACAGATGCAGAGAGCAGCCCACTCACAGGACTGTTGTGAGGTTTCTGTGAGATAATCTATGTGAAGCCCAGAGCACAGAGCCTGGTGCTGGAAAATCCCCAGCTGACAGTGAACTACTGGGCCTGTGTTAACCTGGCGTCCGGCAAGCCCAGGGGCTTAATGGTTGGGCGGTGTTTGTTCCCAACAAGGAAACTGAGGCTGGAGAGCTTAACATGCGCCCTGTGAAGACTTGGAGTTGGGCTCCGTGGCGCCTTCTCTAGCTCGCTTTCCTACCTATGCAGGGGTCTGACCTGTTGTGGGTGCGTGCATGCATGCTCAGTCACTCACTCGTGTCCAACTCTTTACAACCCCACAGACTGTAGGTAGCCCACCAGGTTCCTCTGTCTGTGGGATTTTCCTGGCAATAATACCAGAGTGGGTCACCATTTCCTTTTCCAGGGGATCTTCCTGACCCAAGGATTGAACCTGCATTTCCTGCATTGGCAGATGGATTCTTTACCACTGAGCCCCCAGAAAGCCCATCTGAACATACAGAGCTTCCTAATTCTTTAAGCCCAAGTGATACCCCCCTGTCTGGATATATGCAATTTATTTGCCACAGGTGTCTATATTGGTAGGTAAATTCCCAGAAGATGAGTGGCCAACTTGGAAGTGTGTGTGTTTGTAATCCTGAAGCTGCCACTGTTGTAATAGATGACCTGCCTCCCTTGCCATCACTGGCGCCTGCTCTAACATTGTGGATTTTGGAAAATATGATGGGGGAAAACTGGTATTTCAGGGTTCTTTTGACATGTGTCCCACTTATGATAAGTGAGCATATTTCACATGTTCAATGGTCATTTATAGTTAATTTCTGTGAATCTCCTCTGCCCAGCCCCTCCCCTCCCCCAATTAGACTGTTAGTTGTTTTCTTGTTGATTTGTAAATGCTCTTTATATTTTAGGGAAATTAACCCTTGTCTGTGGTGTCAGTTACAAATACTATCCCTAAGCTGTCCTTCAGAGCAGCACTTCTAACCTCTTTGCTAGAAACCATATCCTATGCACTCTCTTTTTAAGAATCCCCCCAAGCATCTAGCACAGTTCTTTGCCTATGGTAGATAATCAATAAATGCTTGACAGTTAGATTAGTGGTGTAAAAATGTTCTTTACTCATCATCTTCATTAAGTAAAAAGTTTAAAGCATTACTCTCATCATTTCATGCTTTTTGCTTTTTTTTTAGTCACTCAGTTGTGTCCAACTCTTTTGCAATCCCATGGACTATAGCCTGCTAGGCTCCTTTGTCTGTGGGATTTCGAATGCAAGAATACTGGAGTGGGTTGTCATTTCCTTCTCCAGGCGATCTTCCCAACCCAGGGGTCAAACCCATGTCTCCTGCATTGGCAGGTGGGTTTTTTTACCACTGAGTCACCAGGAAAGCCACATTTCATGTTATTCAGTTGTAGATGTATACTTAAATTCTAATACATTAAAGCTAATATAAAAGATATTAAAGAAGTGGAAATGTAAAAGAATGAGCTAAAAATAAATACAGACGGGAGTCTTGACATTTCTTTCCTTACCCCAACAGATTGATTGTCTCGCGCCTCCCCAAGAAGCAGGTCAGTGCCCTTTGGAGATCTCTGGATCACACTTTGTTGCCTGTGAACTTCAGCTCAACTGCAATGTGAACTGGTGTGGCCTCTGGGGTTGGTTGTGAAATGTTTGGCTTGTCTCCCCTGATCTAACAGCAGGCATCCCTGAGATGTCAGGGGAACTAGACCACACCTGCCAGGAATGCAGGAAGGGGGTGGAGACGGTGAAGGAGGTGAAGAATGTGCCAGTCCGGCATGCAGTAGCCTAGGGTCCCCGGCAGTCTGAGGCTCACCGGTAGTGACAGGTGATGATGGCCACCACTGTGGTTCAGCCCCAGCGTGCAATCCAGTCGACTTCGGCAAGGAAACCTGCAGGGGAGGCTGCGTTAGGGACCAGCGGATGAAGAAAGGGACCCACAGCCAGGCCCCAGGGTGTGCCGCCCCCAGGCTTACAGAGAGGCTCTGAGCTCATTCCCACACTAGCCACACCCACTGACAACGGTACCCTGGCCCAGTTCGGGAACCCCGCACCAATGTCCTGGGACAGGTGCCAAGATGTCCTCCACTAAACACTGAGATGTCATCAGCCCACTGGGGAACGGGAGGGACTGAAATCTCCCCAGGCCGCCCGCTCGGTCCAAGGGGTCAGCAAGGGCCATGGGGCCCCGCGAGCAGAGCGGCAGCATCACAGGGAGCCAAGGTCAAGAACGTGCTCGGTGCTGGGGTACCTGTTTCCTCCTGCTGCTGTTGGTGACCACCAACGTGGCGGCTTAAAACCACACGCTGCTTCTCTGACAGCCTGGAGTCCAGAGGTCACAGTCAGTGTCTTCCTGGGCTGAAATCAGGGGGACGGCAGGGACTTGCTCCCTCCAGAGGCTCATGGGAAAATCTTCCTCTTCGCCTTTTCTAGCTTCCAGAGCTCGATGCCTTGTGCTTCGGAGCGTAGCCTCCTGCTTCAGTATTCTATCGCCACCTCTTCTCAGCAAATCTCTCTCTGCCTCTCTCTTACGAGGACATTTGTGATAACATTTAGGGCCCACCCAGATAATCCAGGATAATATTCCTTAATCACAGAAACCTTAATTCCATCACACCTGCAAAGCCTCTTTTGTCATTTAAGATAATATTTGCAGATTCCAGAGTTTAAGACCTGGAAATCTTTGGGGGTGGCATTATTCTGCCCATCAGGGCTTCTCTGGTGGCTCAGACAGTAAAGAATCTGCCTGCAATGCAGGAGACCTGGGTTCGATCCCTGGCTTGGGAAGATTCCCTGGAGAAGGGAATGGCAACTCACTCCAGTATTCTTGCCTGGAGAATTCCATGGACAGAGGAGCCTGGCGGGCTACAGTCTATGGGGTCACAAAGAGTCAGACACGACTGAGCGACTAACACACAGACACACATATTCTGCCCACCACAGAGGGCAACGCCAAGCAGACAAGAGGCTCTGAAGGCTAGAGGGGGTGTCAGGGGGTGTCCAGGCTCATTTCTCACAGAGGCTGTGAGACACAGGGCCTGGGACATCTTGTGACCCCCAGGTCTCGGCAGATCCTAGAGGGTGCTTTGGGGGAGTGTCTCCGAGTTGGGGGTGGAGAGAGGAAGGTGGGAGCCTGGATCCAGGGCTCACATCACCCGCTCATCATCACCCGCTCATAGGCGCCACCTGCCAGACCTATTGCCCCAGGACCATTTGGTCCAGGATGTTGGCTGGGCAGGTGGCTGCTGAATCATTGATCCTCCAGCCTCCTTCTGGTCCCAACCCATGGATTTTTCTGGCATGTTTGAAGGCAGCTTCTGGGCAGAGAAAAGACTTTCAGAAATACTTTGGTTTTTAAGCCCCAATTCTTTGCTGAGCTTTTAAATGCAATTTACAAATCTTATTCTATGAATAGATCCAGCCAATTTTAACAATCATTTTTAAGGCAAACTTTGATTAATGTTTGCAGCATTTACCTACTTAGTTAATTAAACTCCTTTAAACATTTTAAGGTGCAATCAAAGTGTATTGTATTCCGTTTTCTAAGTTTTTCAATTATCTGACTAACAAATCTTCCCAAGTCCTTAAGTGATCCTTATCAATCAGGTATATTAAACTTATAATTATGGCGATTTTTAAATATTCAAAAACTGTTTACCACTTTGTGAGATTTTCAGCTTTACAATCACAGGTTGAAACCAATGACTCAAGAGCACATTTAAAATTAGAATCACAAGTCTGATGTTAACACTCAAATCTGCCCAATTTGCTTAAACTTTCTAAGTTCTAAAAATGCCAAAGATACAAACAGATTTCTGATCTCAACACGAAAAGATAAATGCTATCATTTTTATTTGCTTCATCATCTAAAT